ACTTTGGTCAACAAGAGAATTGTACAAATTTTTACTATTCCTTTTACTGTTTCAACACACTTTCAGGTAAATCTTATATATTAAGTTAACATTTTCTTAAATCAAAAATGCATTTCCAATAATACTTACTTCCGCTCACAGAACAGCTATTACTCGACTGCTAGGGTTTCTTCCTTTGCCCATCTAAGCATTGGTCTGATTTTTTCTTGCTTGCTCCAGTCTTTTGTGCCCCACTTAATTGCCCTTGGCAATATCTGTCTCATGATATTATTCACCTATGTCCATGCACCCTCTATCTTGATACTGTATATAAGCACCTAATTCAGATAATATGATCACTTTTTCGAGACTGACCCTAATTCGCAGTCTCTAATAGAAAATCTTAGTGGAGAGGAAAGGTGGAAGAGTGTGAACAGAGGTAAGTATTACTGGAAATACATTTTTGATTTAAGAGAATGTTAACTTCAAAAACATACTCATCTCCTCTCACACTACTGCTAGAATCCCACATTGATAAGGTGGAAGGACCAAAGAGGACATTATCCATACATCTGCATAGATCACGGGCTTGCCAATAGAAGATTTAGCACCCTAGTGGGGGAATCACACTACACAAAGAACAGGTATGCTCTTCACCCGGAACCTAAATCATGCACCGCGGGTGGACCATGATGTGGTCCGTCAACACTACTGGCTAGGCCCCAACGAGGTAGCTGAGGTCCCACTGCTCAAGGTTTGAATTACAGGGCCACGGCCCCTAAATCCCACGTTGGTGGCTAGGGCACTTGGACTGCAATATATATATATATATATATATATATATATATACACATCAATGTATCAATGGAAAATGAGGAGCCAGAGGCAGTTGTTCCAAACTGGCCTATAAGAAGCCAACATAGTAAAGGAAAGTACTGGAAAAATCAAATCTAAATTCTCTTCAGATTGTCCAGGATTGCCTACAAGTACAGCCTCAGAGCCGCATGGAAAAACACTACCAGACCAAATATACCGGACCGATGTCTCCATCTCACTACAAATAAAATCATGGACAGCCTCAACAGAGAGTGACCTCCACCCCGACTGTTGAGCATCGCTAGATATCAGAGTTGCGATAGGAGACACCTGATTTGCCTCTGTGCCAGAAACAGTAATCCAGAAATTCATGCATATTGGCTTGCCACACAATTTTTTTTTCTATATTTTTTCTTTTACGAAAATCAAATAGGTAACACGAAGAATGCTCTAAGTATCTTCAATGGTCATAGTACAGAGAAACTCATCAGTGAATGTTTTGTCAAGAAAAAGTGATAATATTATTTGAATGAGGTGATTATATACAGTAGCAGGAAAGAGGGCACATTGACGTAGGTGGAGAATGTCACGAGACAGATATCACCAAGGGCAATTAAGTGGGGAATAAAAGACTGGAGCAAGTGAGAAAAACTCATACCAATGCTTAGATGGGCAAAGGAAAACCCTAACAGTCAAATATGTTTTGGAATAACAGTACAAATGTACAAGTTCATAAGAGAAGGATACCAACTGACAAAGTTTTGCCTTCTAGAGACTCCAGAGTAACAGGTCTTCCTACTGGTGCCAACAGCTGCCACAATCCTTGCACTCCCATATTTCAAATATTGAAATAACTGGAAGCTATTTGGAAATTCTAAAGTTAAACAGAAATAATTGTGCAAAATAATAATTTTCCACATTCTGTTGGTATACACTTCTGTCCAACTTTGGATAGACAGGTTTTATGTGGATTTATTCTTAAACCATTTGCAAAAATCTTTACTTTTATAGAGTTTTTTAACATTTTTTAAATACATACTTTCATGTTGTTACTTCAATTCTCTTTGGAAGTTGAAGTGCATTACTGTACTGAAGAAATACCTTAGTGGTTCGAGACATCTGCCTACTGCAGTTGGTGGATGAATACTGTAATAGCATTAAAGATAAATCCCTAACAAGCTCAATTAAAATGTTTTATAATCATCATAGTTTAAAGTATTATAATTATTGTATTGTAGAGTATTTAATTGTGTGTAAAAGTATTCAAAACTTTTTTTTTGAGAGTTAAAATGCTCAAAATCCTTAATTATAATGTTATTAAACATTAGAAAAGTAAAAAGTAATGTCAATTGATCAATTTTTTATCACAAGAAAGTTTTTAAATCAATAATGATAAAAACAAAAATATTTACAGGTGGGTAGAAATAACACAGTGCCAAAACTCATGGCATTAGTATATTCAACTCATGAGAAACAAATTGACAACACAGTACAAGTTGGTCTGCTGAGGTGACCCATAATTCCTCTGAGCAATAAAAAAGACAAAAAAACTTAAATACAGCCTATAATTTTTTGGGAAATCACCAATTACCCTCTTAAACTCCTGTAAAGTGCCAGTCCTCCAACTAACTAGTCTTTCCACAATCTACAGATGTGTTTTTCTTAACTGATCTGTATTGTACCTCTTACAAACTCACATAAAAAGTCAAGATAAATAACATCCTTGAAAAAAGTTAACAGAGTTGTAAGGCAAGGGTTCTTTAACATGAATCCATGTTAGCTTTTTCTTTTAATATTGTAATATAACCTATGGACAACAAAGGACCATTAGTCATTCCAAGCTGTCTTTGTACACCTGCCTCTGAGAAAAGTAAAAATTAAACTTTTTTTTTACAGGAAATTGTCAATTCTCCTACTAAATTCCAATGAAGTGCTGGCTTCCACTGCTGTTGGCAACAACTGATTTCGTAAGTCAATCACTTCAAAAGAAGTAATTATCTCCACACAAACCACTAGTTAGGCCTCAATTAAGTTACAATACTATGTAAAGTTTTGGGCTTCATATCTAAGAAAGGGTGTTGACTTATTGGAAATGATTCAGAGGAGAGCTACTACTAGTACTAGGATAATTGTAAGGTTGGAAGTTTTGGGCTTCATATCTAAGAAAGGATGTTGACTTATTGGAAATGATTCAGAGGAGAGCTACTACTAGTACTAGGATAATTGTAAGGTTGGAAGTCTTATTTTACAGAGATAGGTTAAGATCTCCTAATTTATTTTCTCTTGGGAAAATAATGGTAACAGATTATCTTATTGAAGTGTATAAGATTATTTGAGGGATTGATAAGATAACTGCCTCTGATATCTTCATTTTATATTCTGAAGACAATAAAATAAGAGAACACATGTTAAAGTGTGGGAAAAGATAGGCTAGGTTTCAGTTAAAATAATTATTTTCATAAGAGTTTGTAAACAGTCTATAAATACACCCTAAAATTCTATTAGTTTAATTACTTGCAATATAGCATTGCTTAAATGGACTGAATGACTCATTCAAGATCCTTTTCTTCAATCTCGATATTGTTAGTTACCAACTATCTTAAATATGTGATTTAAATTATGATAACCTGAATGCATTAACTTGTATTTACTATAAGAAATCATGTTAAATATTTCAATACTGGTGGCTCAGTTGATAAAGTATTGGCCTCAGAACATTAATATGAGTCCAGAATACATGGATTTAAGCTCTAGCTGGTTAAGACAGATTCCTCTTTTACTTTTATTCTAAAATACATGTGTTTGCATTGGAAATCTCTATACAAATAAATCATTACTCAGCACTATAATAGTTATGTTAGCCTAGTACTACCTAGGTTTTATTTACTTTACTTTAGATTTGGGTTTGAGGCAAAAACTAATCAAACTTGACTACTGCAATGTTTTAAGTGAGGGGTCCTAATAGCACCATAGAGGAGCACAAAGCATATATATTAATTTATATAGTAATATTACATGAAATTGTGATTAAAAATATTATTATCAGATCCACAGTAGTTGTTTAGGTTTTACTATAACCTCTTTTAGTTTTTACCATGAAAGTGGCACATAACTTTAATCAAGTATACTCATTTGTGCTCAGAGAAAACTTTTGTGGAAACCAATAAACACACACACTAAGGCTTCTGTAGTTTTAAATTTTAATGAAGGATGTTCTTGCACAACACTAAGAAATTTGGATGTTTATTCGAGTTGGTCTACTTATGAGTAAGTACATTGAGGGAGTGACCACATGAATGCATGGTTTTAAAATTAAATACAGCTTTTATACCTTGTAAATATAATAAGTTTCGTTTTTATACTCCTTTAAGCCTGAATTGCAAAAGTTAGTTTAAAACAATAAATAGCATACAACTTACAAGTAAGTTTATTCTCCGTAACAATACGAATCAGGGACAGTAATTACTAAATAATTAGTATACTACTAGTATTGTCAGTGTTACAATTTACAAGCACTAGATTTAGAGACACTACTAGTAATAATGCTTGAATGCATTGTTATAAATTTGAAATGTCGTGAGTACTTTTCATGGTGACGATTAACATGAAATATCTTACACAAATACACATAACTATACCATTAACGGTAAAAGTTAACAAAATCAAACGCACTTACAAAGCCATGTTGCTCGGCTCCAGGCTTACTCAGTTACTAGCACTATTACTAGTAATAGTAGTGCACTACTGTGGCCTGATTGAAATATAACCAAAGCTTATAAGTTGTAGTTATACTTTGTAGTTTTCCATTTAACTCTCAATTTAATTTTCAATATACAAATGCAAGTTGTTAATATTAATTTTAGTTATTATAAAAAATATGGCAACTGAAAGATGAGCAAAAATTTGTGTATAAAATTTTCTTCTTTCATTAAAGCGATATAGCAAAATCTGTATAATTACATAATAGTTATATAACTTATAAATCATTTCACTCTAGAACTCCGTCACAAATTCCTATCAGTCACGAAATGTGCCCAAACAAATACATACCGAATATTATTAACATTTTGGTATCATTATCAATACCATTTTATGTTATGAAAATCCAAAAAATTCAACGTATTTCTTTAAAACATTACATGTAAGGTTTTAATATAATATTTTGATTAATTAAATTATGTTTTTGGAGTAAGACACGACACGTGTTATTTTAAACCTGCACATATACAGAACAAAGAATAAATTCAGAATAAATACTATAATATTACAAGGAGAGAACAGTTAGTCTGCACATATAGCCAACAATATTCACAAAAACACATACAAATATATATATATATATAATCAAAACATCAACATATATATTCAATTCTATCTAAAAAACGCAACGAAGAAGAAAAAAAAAACGATCTTTACTCGAAGTCCCCCTGTGGGAGAGCGGTAAGTTTGTGTACTTATAACGCTAAAATTCGGGGCTCGATTCCCTGCAGTGGACACAATGGATAACCCAATGTGACTTTGCTCTAAAAAACAAAGTTAACCAACCGAGAAAGACAGTAAGCAGCTGTCATTTTAGGTACCTTTATTCCATTGTTCTTAAGTGCATAATACCTGGTCTGTCCAGGCGATATATTACTGCAATACTGCATTTTTTGTGCAAGGTTCTCGACATCAGTGTTCTTCAATGATCGTTCAGGTGCTATCTAGAAGATATGGCCTTACCTATGTTTTGACGAAATAATGACCAGTTACGTGAGCAGCACTAGTCGATCTGAGTAAATGCGAAGTTTCTTGTGAACTAAGAAACATTGGTTTGTTTCGAATTTTGCGCAAAACTACATGAGGACTATCTGCGCTAATCGTCCATAATTTACAGTGAAAGATCGAGGGAAGGCAGCTAGCCATAACCACCCACTCCTCTTTCCTCTGATCAAAGTTCCACCAAGAGTCTTTGGTTTACTTGCTAATTCCTCTTATATAATTCATTTTCTGCCTTTAATGAAGTTTGTTTGTTATAGATTTCATGCAAAGCTACATGAGAGCCATCTGCGCTAGCTGTACCTAATTTTGCAGTGTAAGACTAGAGGGAAGGCAGCTAGTCATCACCACCCACTGCCAACTCTTGGGCTACTATTTTACCAACGAATAGTGGAATTGACCATCACATTATAATGCCCCATGGCAGAAAGGGTGGGAAGAAACATTGAATTTAGACATACGTTCAACTTGAAAAGTTAAATGTAGAGGATCAAGGAAAACCAACCATCCTATGTAAGTAATTGCAAATATATACAATCTGATTGTGTTTTATTGTAATAATAAAGATTTTTCATTTTGTATTTCACCTTGCATCCAGTTGTGATATGTAGACAAACCATATGTTTTCTTACTGCTTTTGTAATATAGGAATTTTTAATTTAGTTTAGTTTATTTAAATTCTAACAAATTTTATCATAAACACATAGTCCAGAAAACTGTTGAAGTTTGTCTTATTCTAATTGCTTTATGCCATTGTTCTATGTAGCAGATGATATCTACCCTGCTTGAAGGGATGTCGTAATAGGTCTGTTTAATAACTGAAGATTAGCTTAAAATATTGATCTTGTAATAATATTAAATCTCTTGCTAACTAAGTCATGATGTTAAATAAAATAATGAGGTTTTGTGGCATTCTCATTCAAAAATTATTTCTATACAAGTATCAGATAAGATTGCTTTTAGAGCAGGATTAAATAAGGAACTTGAAGAGTAATTTGCTTTTCAACACTTGACTAAAATCTAACCTTATTTGAGAAAATAAACAAACTGGACAAGTTTGATAGGAAATGTACACAATCTTTGTTTGTCACAAACAATAATAAAAAAAAGTGTGAGTATTTGCGTAAACAAGTGGGCAGGTACTTCTATGTCAATGTCTGACTCATCAGCTCTCTTTCTCTCAAAACATGTCTCTGTAGAATAAAACACGATGAATATCAGCTGAAACTGAGGAAGAATATGAGCTTAATTCTATTGTGAGGGCATCAACACATGACTGTTGTTCTCTGATAAAATTTGTTGGCTCTACAGCATACAGACATCATCCACTCGGAAGAACATTGCACTTGTTGACCTTTCTAACACTTAAGTGAAATATACTAAAACTTAATGCATAATAGTTCAAATAAAAGGCAGTACATACTCTCAGGTATCTTGAGGTAAGGGCATCAAAATTTTCTTCTACTTATCCTCTCTGTGATATATCCAAGTGGTAAATTAGGTGACTTTTAAATGCCCAGATGTTGAAGTGATAAAACAATGAGCTCCATTTAGTATACCAAGTAAAAAGGTGCGAGATCATTCACAAAGCTCACTAAGTCTTGTCAGTCACAATTCTTTGGTCTAATTATCTTCAGTCGTCTGTATTCCCCTCACATGAACAGTCACACTGGGTGCACCAGATATTGGTAACTCTTCTTTCTGAGTCATTGGTAGTTATGAGATAGAAGTCATGGACATTTGCATCATTGGCAAAAGTCCCATGTCCAAGATAGAACCCCTCTTATAACAAATAACTATCACCCCCTGGTGACCGACTATTTCTCTTGGTCATACATCCTTCTAGTTGTAGAAAATGCCATTTTTGTTTAACTTGCAATCCAATTTTGATAAAAGAGTTAGCACAAAGGATTACATATAAAGTGTAATAGACTTAAAATAAAACCCAAAACTCGTGCGCTTTCAAATAGTTGACTATTCTTCTCAACTATTTGAAAGCGCTCAAGTTTTGGGTCTTATTTTAAGTCTATGACACAATCCAATGTATACAAATAAGATACAAGATAAAGGAGTAAGAAAATGAAGAATGTGTTATACCTTTTAAACAAAACGGCAAGGAGATGTTAACTACCAAAACATCTTCAGAATCATGGAATAAATTTGATGAGAACAGTAATCTTAACTAGAATAAAAAACGCCATGAATCGAACTGCTAGAGTACGTGGCAAAAATTAAAAATTTTGAGTGAAACAGGGTCACAAAATAGGATGATAGCTATTCTGTCAGATATAAAAGACTGTTTATTGTAGGTAATGTTATTAATTATTTTATTTTGTGTTTGTAATTCATTGATGTGGAGGCTATTGAATGTTGTGTTTGCAATCCATTGATGTCGAGGCTATGGATATTTCTAGAAGGCTTAAGTGATAGACATATAAATAGCTGTTACCAGACGAGTGGAGAAGCAAAGAAAAAGTAAAGTCACGTGAAAGAGAAATTCGGTCAGAGAAAGGTTGGAAAACGTAAAGTTAACCAATGTGGGAGTGAATGGCCTAGTGGTTGATATGTTAGAATGAGATTAACGGTTCGAAAAAGATAAGGAGAATAATTTGTGTCATCAAAGGGTGTTCTAAACTAATTGACCTGCCTGTGAGTGGACTTTGACAAAAGGTAGACGATTATTGGAAGTATGAAGAGCAGATGATTATTGGAAATTCAAGCTACAGCTGCAGTAACTCACGCGACAGCATAAGTGAACTACACATGGATACTATTGCGATAAGAATAGAGAAAAATAGATCGGCTTGTCAACAGAATTCTAAAGCAATTTAATTGGCCTAAGTGAACTTGTGACAACAAGAAGAGAACACTATAGTGTTTAAGATACAACTATGATCTCCATAATGTAAAGAATTTTGTACATATGTTTAACTTGTTTCGAATATATATATATATTATTTTTAAAACAAATGGAGTATGTGCTGTTTGTTTATTGTCAAATTGATCGCCAACAAGTCAAAGGCACCTACTGTAAAAGAATCCTTAGCTCAACACACTCATATATTTATATTATTGTTACGTCTCTGGTCGTTGGTTAATTTTCCACAGAAATTCTTTCCAAAAAACTTAAGCGATACAAGTCCTTTCTTAAATAAAACTAATTTATTCTTTCTCAATAGAACTTTGCAATACACTTAATTTCCACAGTCACTTTAACTTAAACATACGCTATGATTCACAATGATTCATGCACTTTACTTATGGTCACTACTGTGCTTGACTCAATTGTCCGTCTCTATCTCTGCCTGTCTGCAATTCAATTAATTATCTCGCTTTATTTGCCGGCTTATATAAAAGAATAGAGGGCGTCTAGAAAATACTGGACTATTCGTGATGTTCCCCGATCCTTCTAGATACTCATTAGTGTTACCAGCATCACGTGACTTCCACTGTCGTAACATTGCCCCTTCCTTAGTACTGTTCATCCCGAACAATAGCCACTTAAATTAAACCAATAGATAATTAACAATAACTTAATTAAATGTACAGAATTTTACAAACACAAAACTAGAATTCAACAAAGTCTCTTAATTTTATGGGACA